AGGGTTACTGTATGCTCATTAATGAGGTAGATAATTTAGTCCTCATCTGGCTCCTATCTGCTCTTCTTTGGTTAGAACTAAGGAGAGAGGGCTTACTAATTAGGAACCATCACCAGTGTATAAGTGACTGGGGTTTGAAAGGAAGTTTCCAAAAACAGTCCATATATATTTGGATTGTTTTTAAAGCCCAATTACAGAAAGGCCCCCAGCTCACTTGGTATATACATTTATTTTGAAATAATAATTTACTATAACTGTAGGAGGTTAACAATTCTCACAAAAACTCTCACAAAAACACCTGAAAATCTTGTAATCATATATTTTGGTAGCTATATTTTTGAAAACATGTTATTTATCCAGAGGTACAAAATCTTTTCTGCAATCTTTTATTTACAAAAATAAAATTATGATAATTTGATATTCTGCATTTTGTAATATACAGCTATCTAGTCGATTATAGTGACAGATTGCCTTGGTAATTCCACTGGCCTCAGATGTAAAAAATATAGTTTCCCTCATCAATCCTCAAGGGGATAGATTTAGAAAAATAAACTAATGTAAAACTTTTTAAATGCCACTAAGTCAGGCTCATGCAGGTAAAGCAGACTGCTCTCATTATACTTTGTATACCCCACAACGTGTTACTTCTGGAACCCTTCCAAGACCACAGGCTCCTTAAGAGTAAGAGCTTGGCCTTTTTAAAAAGCAAAGTTTAAGCCCTGTTTTGTTGTTTTCTTAATGTCCTTCTGTTGATACAGATACATTTCTACTAAGTTAGAGATGATAAAATTGCATGAAACCAATCTGTATCTAAGTAAAATGGATTTTACTTTTTCCTATAAAAACATCACCTAGAATTTGGATATTTCACTTGAATCTCCAGTATTTATCTGGGTCCTTGGGATTCTGCATGTGAGTTCTTAACTGGCTAACAGCAAGAACATTTTGTCCACAGGGGCCCATCCAGTATTTCTGAACTGCGGCATAGTATTCTGGCTCAACTTGCATCAGATCACACCACTGAAAGTCCAACTGGACTAGCTGGACTGTTCAGAGACTGAGAGGCAAACATGGGCCCAGCATGAGTAGAAAAGAAAGATAGGACAGGCTTGAGACTTTTGTGATCTCAGGATAGATGCAAAGTTCAGGAACGAATGACTCCACTGGAAATGCCAGGACAATGCCAAGTCTTGAGAAACTTACCAGGCCAGTTTCTACACAAAAACCTCTTACAGGCGATGCAAGAGGATGCTTTGGAAAAGGAAGGGAAGACCCACTGCCAAAACCAGAGCTGTTTGGAGGATTCAAGCAGAGACTGGATTCACCAGCAGCCACTTTATAATACCTGAATAATTAGGCTAAGAAGGTGGCGAGGAAAATGTACAATGTGTGTTGTGTTCTATAGGTGCCAAAACTTAAAGGAATGTGCTGGAATCATAAGAGCCAGTGCCTGGAAAGGAGGTACTTGAACTGTGGTTTAAAATACCAAAGAAAATATTATAGAAAGAGAAGGTCTTGGAGATTTAAAAACAAAGGATCACTGAGAGTTTTAGCAACAGTACATGAAAGGATTTTGGTCTTAGAGCAAGTCTGAGCGGGTAGAGAGTGGAAGGAAATATATCTTAAGCTCCAAACCACCTGGAAAAAAAGTAGACAGAAAGACTTCAAATTAAGGAAAGAAGAGAATACAATACAGACAACTGGGCATATTCCACCAAATTATTAATGGGAAGCAGTTACAATCAGGCACCGGCTTCCAACCTCAAGCTCTATAATTGGCTGAGAAATCCAGAATTCTTCTGCTAATACACTTAATTTTAAAACAAAAGTAAAATTCTGAGGTTATCAAGACGTCTTAGAACAGACAAGACTGAGTCTCTTCAGACTCCAATCTCAAATCCTGGCGGCCAACACAGAAAGAGGCTGAGTGCTGGTGAAGGCTCTGCAGCGGTGGGCATCGCTAAGTTCCGAGCTACACCTTCGGGGGGAGAGGGGGAGGTTGCAGTAGACGATCTCAGTGCTCCCCACTGATCCCCTCAGATCCCTTTATACCCTGTCCCCAACTAACAGGGCTCACTCACATCAGGAGGCTCAACCCTAACTGGTGCCTCCAAGTTCTCTGGTATGACATGGCCACCTAGGGGCTCCCAGCCCTGTCCACCAGAACTGTTGGCACCACAAGTAAAGTGCAAGTGTAAACTGAGAAAGAGCTATGCCACATGGTCTCTCACATGACATCATTTTCCAGACACTACCCTCAGTATCTGGCTCATGTTCCATAACCATAACACAAGTAACTATGGGCTTGAGGAGAAGTACTACCCATTCGAGAACTGGAGGTGGTTAGCTTTGTAGCTATGGCTCACACTAGAAATGACTTAAATAACCAGTGCCAATTTACCCACCAGAAGAGGGGAGGCTCATTATCTCCCTTTGAGAGGACTCAAAGGGAGTCCACGAGGAGAAGACTATAGTGGGAACAGTTACTCTCCTTTCTCTACGCTCCTTCTGAATCCTGGCACCTCCAAAGCTAAAATAATAAAAAAGACTTTAATAGTATATCTCAAGGCTGGGAAGCAGCTCACTCAGTTAACACAATAAGGACTAAAATTAAATCTGGCAGGCAGTAAGCCTTTACAGTTCAGAGGGTGTTGGTCTTTTTTTCAATGTTTCCCCCCAGAAGACATACCTTTGAGCGGTCTGTCCCCTGCCCTGCCCAGCAAGCAGCACAACTGGACAGAGCAGAGGATGGCTGACAATCCACAGGGAAGACCAGACTGTGAGGAGAAGAACCACAGAGGGGCGGGGAAAGGTACGTGAACCAAGGGGCTAAAGGGATCAGAGGTCTTAGGGGAAAGAGCAGGCTTGAAGGGGACAGGAAGACTCTTCATCAATCCCCTTCTGAAATGTGTACAAAGTACCAATATTACTTACGCAAAACACGAATATTAAACAAGGAGTAGAATAAAAGAGAACAGTCACCATTCCTTATACGAATGTAACACTACTTGAACATAAAATGTATAAAATCAGTAGCTCTTTGGGTGGCAGAATGAGGCGGACTGGGGATATTGGCGTGTAAAAACTAAATAATAATGTAAAGACATTAAAGAACCACGGGACTAGATGATGCAAAACTGGATGATCTGCTGCTGCACTGGCGACTGTATAACAGTACAAAACCAGCCTGCTTTTTTCCAGTTTTATTGAGATACAATTGACATACATAACTATATAAGTTTAAGGTATACAAAAAAGTCTTCTTAAGTTTCCTACATGCAAGTCCTTTCAAAATAATAATTATAATCATTATCTGCTTAACAATGCCTCACAACCAGCTGTGCAAAACATTAACGTGACCATCACACTAAAATTTTCAGAGACAACAAAACGAATATCAAAAGCCATTAACAGCCTCTTAAATAATTGCTATTTTTATCATTTATGACTTATTTAGATTATCAATTTTTTTAGTCACATAAATGTTTGATTTCTGAAAACCTTCATGGTAAAAAAAAATTAACTGTTGAGAAAATTAACATCTTACAGAAAAATAGTGAAAGCCATTAAAAGTATTTTTAGGCTCATAAAAAGAAACAATTAAAACAGCACGTTAAATTAAGGCAATATCAATAACACTTCCCCTTAAATTATAATGAAGCCTATATTATGAATTTCCATTTTCCATCAGCCGCACTGCAGAAGCCTTTCAAGAATCTCTTCCTAATACACCCCACTCCCCACCTCCAGCAGTCTCAGCAATATGAGTGATGCTTAAAAACGTATTTTGCTTGCACATAATACACTACAGTAGCTTCATGTGTCAACTTGGCTGGGCTGGAGTACTCAGTAATTTAATCAAATACTCATCTAGGTGTTGCTGTGAAGGCATTTTGTAGATGTGGTTAACATCTGCAATCAGTTGACTTGAAACAAAGGAGATTACCGGCAATACTGTGTGTGGCCCTCATCCAGTCAAAGGCCTTAAATGCAAAAACTGAGGTTAGCCAGAGAAGTTCTGCCTCAAGACCGCAACATCAACTCCTGTCTGAGTTTCCACCCTGTGGGCCTGCCCTACGGATTCCATCTTGCCACCCCAACAATCATGTGAGCCAATTCCTTGAAATACATATAGGTCTCCATCCTACTGGTTCTGTTGCTCTGGAGACCCTAACTGATAAACACACACTCGGAGAGACTTTTTACATGTAGTTCTCTGTTCCAGGATTCTACCCCTTTCTGATTCTATGACCCTCCTTCTCTAGGCCCCACCTACACATATCGCAACTCCCACCCTCCTCATGGAACCCACTAAATACAATCCTTGGGACTGAGTTTTCTTTTCCACATTTTTGTTCCAACATTCTCTACGCCTTTATTTTTCTATTTCCATCCCTCAGGCCCTTCTTTTTCTAATGACTAGAAAAATAACAGCAACAAATACAATTGGCACAAACTAGGCAGAAAATCCTCCTAATAAACAGACATACATTTGTATATACAGATCCCTACATTAGGGAAGCTTCAGATTGCAAAAGACTGTCTAAGTGTCACGGTTCTTTAAATACATGTTTTTAAAGGTAAAAAACATTTTAAGGTGGGATTTTTATTCCAACATAGAGCTCAGCATTGTTTCTATGCAATTAGAACTGAAATTAGGAAATAAAAGTTAAAGAAAACGTATATCATTTATAGAAATCAAATTCTAAATGCAGTACAAGAACGTGGTTATTTTGAAATCCAAACATCCTTATGCATAGAAAACTTATTTTTCAATGATGAACTATATAAACTTCGGAGTTTTAGAAGAATTATCTAGTAAGGTATTTCAACAGTATTTTTTTTTTAGTGCTTAAGTTACTCAGGTTCCTTAAAATGGAAACACTTCAATGCTTCGATAGTCAACTGGAATCAATATCTATTAACTTAGCCTTGTAAATGCACTAAATAGTATAAAGAGAAACATATTTGAAATATTTAAAATACCAATACATCCTCACCTCCCACATCAACCTGTAATCCATATTTTCATCCAAATCTTCAGGCATTCTCTTCTCTCCAGCAAACGGTCCAAACTTTTCACCCTGAGTAGTAATGATTATATTGAAAAAGGATTAGTACAATAATCAAGTTACTAAAATAACCTATTATTTGTCTTCTAGAAAATTGTTTTTCTACAAATCTTCATGCCCAAAAATTGAGACACATTTAAAATATTAACTAATTTACACAACACAAAATATTTACATAGTTAAAATCCAACTTAATCTGTTTTTAGCCTAAGAGCCTAAACCCACAACACAGGAGCCAAAAGAAAAGGGTTAAACTGCTTAACGTTCCAATTCTGACAGGGCCCTGACACTGTACTTACGTGATTCAGTCCTCTGCCGCCTCTGGCAAGCGGTCTCAAAACGACAAGCACTGAGTTTTGCCTGACTTGAGAGACAAGCCCACCAGGTAGAAAATCACCTGGTTTCCATAAAAATCATAAATTCATCCCAATTATGAACAAGAAGGAAGTAGGCTTGCCATTCTCCAAGGAAGACCGTTCATAAATAAAGTTTAAATTCTCCTGCCAATCTGTCAAACAGCCAAGGGGACACACTATAAACCAGGGTTCTCAAAGCACGTGCTTTGAAGCCCACCTGCGTGAGATCACCAGCATCACTTGTTTCAAATCCAGAATCCTAGGCTCTATCAAATCAGACTCTCTGGGAGTTGCATGTTAGGGAGCTGCATTTTGACAAGTTCCCAGGTGAGACCAGGAGTGGCTGACCCCCCAGGCAAGTTGAAGGGGTAAGTCACACTCTTTTCTCACTAAGGCAACCAAAGCAGGGACTGCAGAGACAGAGAGAGTGGGGTCGTGCTTGTCCAGCCAGATGGTCTGTAGAAGTGTGTGCAGAGGATACAGAGCCACTCAGGCCTTTGTGAGCATCCTCTAAACCACCTGTGACTATTCTCAATAGGATCCCTCCCTTCACAAGGAGAAGGAGGAAGAAAAACCAACAAAATCTCCAGGGGAATTTTTGATGAACATCATTAAAGGAAAAATAACCACCAACGCAATGTTTCAAGGAATACAAATTACTTAATGAACAACAGAAAACCGAACTCCCGGGAAGAGTAAAATGTTAAAGCTAAAAGGAATTACAACTAGCTAACCCAGCCCTTCATTTTACAGATAACAAAAAACGGTCCTGAGAAGCCACGAATAATGGCAGAGCCCGGAAGACCTATTCTTTAATGTTAACTTGGGGACAGAAAACAGCTACAGAGACTCCTCAAGTCAAAACTATAAACCTAAATAACCGAAGCACGAGCACACCAAAGAAACAAGGAGACTGTTATTTATAATAACATAAAGTTACCGATGCAAAGTTTAGCGAGCAAATTTCAGAGAGGCTGGAAGCTGGCTCTGCTTCTCCATCCTTCCATGCCTCACCAGCCAAACCACCAGCCACTTCATGCCAAACAAGCACAGAGCCCCAAAGATGCTTTCTGTAAAAGGTAACCATTTCTCACCTCAACATGGGACTTTACCAGTATTTAATGGCAGTTAAGGAAAGCTGTTTAAGAAATGAAAGAAGTGGGGAGGGAAATTAATATTTACTGAACTACTATGTGCCACATTCCAAATAAACCTATGTGAAAATTTCCCCATTTAACAACGAAGGAAACTGAGACTCAAAGAGTTTAAATAACGTGCTTGATTAGGGTTCATCACCTAGCAAAAAGGTCAGAGAAAAGATTAGGAACCAGTGGTTTATCCTGAGTGGAGAGCCCCGGCACTGTCCCCTTCCCCAAGCCCCCACTCAAACCCCTGACAAACAGCTGTATGACCTGGGGCCCAGTCAGGCTCATGCCTCTCTTCTCAGCTCTTGTTGACTACAGAGTTCAATAATTACGCGGCCGAGCCTTGCTCACAGAAGTCACTCAACACACTGACTGTTGAATTGAATGAAGAAACTGACAGCCTGATGGTAAAGCCGATCTGGAAGGCCGACCAAAGAATAAGGTGTGTTTTTGGTAATAAATTTGAGGATTTGGTATTAATGCACGTAGTTCAACTTTTCACTCCTCTTTGTCATGTATTTAGCCTTCATCAACTATTGCAGAAGGTAAGTAATCTGAGTACACGCTTCCCAATGCAACTGGTCTACCCATGCTGGAAAGTTCCTCTTTGAGTACAAATTTGGAGGAAAAACAATTGAATCGATCAATTCAACAGTGTTCAAAGGACTAAAGAGGAAGAAATGGAAACCCAAATAAATGCACTGGGATGAGGAGAAAAGCCTGCCCGGATGCACACCTATAAGATTATTAAAGGACCTATAGCTTTGAAAATTCAAAATGAGCATCAGGACTTAGACTTTAAAGCCTTGCTATTTACAGTAACAATTGCTCCATCATAAACTCAAACTACCAAATTATAATAAATATGGCTTTCAATTTTTTTCCTCAGCCCATAGTAAGAAATACATTTTGCATCTCAACCTAGCATATTCATGTATAGACACAGAAACACACAGATATAAAACTAAAATACAAATTTCTTGAAACACTACTACCCTTACTCTGTACAACATACTCCCATATTTTCTACTCTATTTTACTTCACTTTTTAAAAAATACTACTTTTGACCCAATAAGGTAATTTCATAACTCACCAATCGGTTGCAAGCCACAGTTTGAAAGACAATGACATAAAAACATAGATAGAGGGGGCAAATTTATAAGTATATTGAGCTCTCTCGATTTGATGAGATTGCCTTCAAAGGACACTAGTGAGTGTGTATTAGAATGATTTGACCAAATAAACTTAAGTTTCTGTGGCTGCAAGAATACAAAAATGTAAATAGCCAACTCTTATATATCCACAGCACTTGTGGTAAGAAACAATGCAGATAATTAAAAGTTTATATTTGGCTTTAGATGAAGAGTTTATCCTTACAAGACCCACTTGCACTCTGAAGCCTTCCCCTAACGATCCCAGCACCTGCTACCCACCCCTTCTATAATTCCTGGTTCACTGTTGTTTCTACTATACAAACAGCACTTTTTCTTATAATTTTACCGAATACACTGCTTTATTCACTAACCATTTCCTATGGAAATTCTGACCTCAGAGCAAGCTGCTTCTACCTCAGTGGGCTTCAAGCCTGCTTGGGTAACACACCTACGAAAGGAAGGTTTGGGGCACACGACCCATATATATGTAATTATTTTTTCTTTTAGTTGAACCATATGAAATTGCCAGTATTGGACCATTTTCAAGCTACAAACATGAATATTTTTCATGATTCATTATAACATAAATTATATACACATGTGCACGAGCATATTAAATACCTAAGGTGAAGTTCATAATTAATGATAGGAAAAAAACCAATATTTCAAACTATCTTCTTAAAAGTTTCAAAATTTTTTAGCTGACTTCCTGTGATCATTGGTTTTACTTTCTGTGTTTAAGCTGCTGAAGATCTCATACAAGCAGCAGGAAAACCGTCAGCTCTACCATTGTCTTGCTGTTCATGTGTGCCTGCATTCCTGACATTACCTTCACTCTGTGACTTCACTGCAAGAACCTTCCTAGAATTCTTCACTTCTAACCATCTAAAGGGTCACTATCTGAAATGCTTACAAGGTTAGGCAGGAAAGCAGTACATCAGACACCCAACAACAAATATTAAAGGACACACTAGGGAGTGGCCAGGAGGCGAGTTGGAAGGGCCCACCCATTTAAAAATTTCTTCCACTCCAACTGACTGTTGCTATATCACAATGGGGGCCCAATGTTGCCCAATATCTGCAAATATTTTAGAGAGGCTGACAACTCAAATCTCTACGTGAAATCACTACTTTTCTATATTGGCAATGAATTCCAAGTTTTCAAAACTCTGTGCAGGTCAAATAAAATGTGACTGCAACACAAATTCAACCTATAGATGCCAAATTGTCCAAGTCAAACTCACCTCTCAGACCGGCCCAACACCCAGCCTACAAGGCTGCTTCTTTGCTGTTTCTGAACAAAGCAGATAGTTAATCCATTCAATCTGCCACCCACTGGACTAGACAATAACTATTAATAAACGGAAAATGTATGATTGCAAACATGTGGGCCATTTTCTTTCATTTTGCTTAATACTATTAGTAAGAAGTTGAAAGCAAGACTTCTTGCAGATCTCTCTCTTAGAACAGTGGGGGAAGCACCAGCTGAGGCTTCAAGAGACCTGGGTCCTAATCCTTGCTCTGCCACTAATTAGCTGTGACACATTAGGATGTCGCAAACTTCTGCGCTTCAGTTTCCTCACCTATAAAACTTTGGGATTTGGACTAGTTGATTTCCAAGATTCCTTCCAGCTCTCTAATAGAAAGAGCTTCCACAGGCCAAATTTAGAGCAATTTGAGAATCAAAGAGAACACGAGTGTAATTGATTGAAAGACATTAACAAATTCTTAAGTCCATAATGATTGTCACAGAGAGAAAGAAAAAGAAAAAAAATTTTTTTAAACCTCATTTGCCATCACTAGAGAATAACAGCTTATTAAAATTAGTAAAGGGAAAGAACTAAGCATTTTGTCCTGTTTTCAATAATAACCCTAGTTCAGGACAACCAGACAGCAGCATATGATGAAGGAAAGCTCTTCTTTAAAGAGGAATGCTAACTTATAAATAAAGGAGGAATATTTGAGTGAAATCACCATTTTGAAATCCCTAACAATATAATGGATTCAGGCAAGGATCATCAATAGATTCTAAAACCATTAGGTAAAAGGTTGATAGTGAAATAGATACTCATACAGTATCATCAGCTTACAACAATAGAAAACTTATGTTAACCCAGTGTTGGCATTACTACAGTGGGAAAACCAGATAGCAGTGTATACCCCCTGGTATAAGGCAGTATGAAGAAAATCATTCTAGCCCTTCATTCCCCAGTGTCTGTCATAGGAACGTGAAAGAGGTGTTTGCTGAACTCTCTGGGCACCTCCACAAGCGAAAGGGCAAGCAAACATGCGCAGACCTCTTCCCCCTTATCCTGTCTCTCACCCAGCACCTGGGGAGATGGGTGCTACCTAGGAA